CCCCAAAACCCCAAAACCCCAAAACCCCAAAACCCCTGAGAAGTATGCTTACAATGAAATTTTTTAATTATAGACAAAATGGGGCTTAATTGGAGACAAATGCAGAGGCTAAATAATTAAGAGAGAGAATGAGATAATTCTCAGCAAGTGAACAACATGAACTTATGACAATAACTCTCAAAGTCACATCAATGATGTATTTTAAAAGGAATCATATGATTTGTAGTAAACCACCGGTTAGCTACTATGAAAAATTCACAGATTTTTTGACAGTTTTTATGTTAAAAATATTGAAAATGAGATTATTTTCCCTTTTTCTTAGATGCCTTCTTCTTCTTTTTCTTTTGTGATACTGATTTCTTTCTTTTACGAATTACATCAGTCTGAGAGGGAGCTACCTCCTCTTCTGATGCCTTTGGCTCCTACTGCTAAGTTAGAAGAACTTACCTCATTTTTATTTTTCTTGGTTCCTATACTCAGAAATTCTTGAATGGTATTAGTAACATTCTGGTGGAGTCTTTGGGTTTGCATGAACTTTTTCTCAGCAATGCTCCTCATGGCATCGACTCTAGTTATTTCCATGTTTAGTTGCTCTTCCTTTTTCTTAAACAGTCTTTCATGCTTCTCAAGTTGCTCTTTCACATATTTGATTTCTTCCTCAATATCTCCCTGATCACTGATGACATTTTTAGTGATTCTGGAGATAATTCTTTAACTTACATTTTAAGGTAGCTGACTTGTTTTTCAAACTCCTCTTTCTTACTCTTCAACTGGCCTGCCACATCTGCTGCTCTTTGGGTAGTTTCTTTATTTGAGTGTGCTTATTCCTTGAACCTGCTCTTCGGTCATCTTTGTCTTTCTACTGATCATCTCATAAACCTACCTCTCCTGTTGTTCCATCTCCTCGTTAATATAAGCATTAATATCAGGTATCTGGCTTGTCTCTACGTTCTTCTTCTTCCTATATTTCTTCAGAGCCTTCTGTGTCTGCTCGTATTCTACTGGATCGTTCATGAATTCAGCCTTTTCTTTAGAAATCTTCGAGCCAAAATACCTCCTATACTTCTGTCTTTTATCAGCCATGTACTTCTCCACTTGGCTGGCATTGGCAGTGCCATGACTGAGGAAGACACGAAGGATTTTGTACTTGTGGGTTTTGAGCAGGTTGTTCTCGAGGTTTAGTTTATTTAGGAGGGTTTTTTAGGTTGGGAAGGAGGGTGACGAGGAGGTCGGAAGAGGCTGAGCCGAGGAGGTTGTTGGCGAGGTTGAGGGTTTCGAGAGGGTGTGTGCGGGGGAAGTAGAGCGTTTGGAGGATTTCTTTACCGGGGAGATCTGTGATGTCGTTGTTGCGGAGGTGGAGGTGAGTGAGGGTGTTGTTGCGGATAAGGCCTTCGGCGATGGCTGTAGCGCCTTTGTCACCGATTTGGCATTCGTTTAGACTGAAGAGCCGGAGAGAGATGTTTGTCCAAAGGAGACTTCGAAGTTCAGCATAGTTTGGAGAGGTTAGTCTGTTTTTATCGAGATAGAGGTCTTTGATACTTCTGCTATACTTGATACAGTTGAAGAGATCGTGAGCTCCTTGATAATTAAAACCACAATTCTTTAACTTTAGTATTCTTAATTTTCATTTCTCAGATCGGATAGCATAAGAAAGTTCATTGATTCCTGGATTTCCAAAGTTATTATCGCTTAGGTCAAGATATTCCAAGGCAGAAGAGTTGAGGACTTCCGCGATGATCTTGGAAGATTCATTAGTAATCTCGTTTCCTTTGAGACTGAGGCTTATTAAGTTAATATTTTCCTAAAAGCCCTTCTCATAGAACTTTGATCCCTGGATTTCATAGTGCGGTACAGTTTAGGTTCAAGAATTGGATGTATGGAGACTTTCTTAGCAACTTTGCAAGTAATTTAGCTCCTTTTACAGCTACTCTGTTCTTATTCGACATATCAGTAGAAGAGAGGTTAAGCGAAACCAAAGTGTTTGAACGGAGAAGCGACTGCACTATATAGTCTAGCCCAATATGGTTAATGCCATTTGATGAAATGTCCAAATGGATAATATTTGAGGTTGTTTTGATAATCTTCGAAATAACTTTTGCACCTTCATTTTTAAGCTTATTTTTGCTGAGATATAACCTCTTGATTTTCTGATTGGTCAGCATTACATCGTAGAGAGCATGGATGGTATTGGTTGACAGACCAAGGTTGATCATTTTAAGTTTACCATTTTTGCTCTCTTTGTGAATATATCGTTTAAATCTCTCAAATTGGTTAACGTTGACTGGGAATCCTAGATCCTTTCACTTTGCCTGGAAGATGTACATTAGCTCCTCTTCGTTCAGAACCTGAGTCTTTAGAGGAGATGCCGGTTCTACCCTTTCAGGACTATTGTTGACCAGAGTTGTGTCAAATGATGCATTGACTTTCCTAAAACTTCTATAATCTACAGATTGAGGTCGAACACCTTGTGTTGATAACAAGGAGGGTCCATTAGCATTGATCGATTTGTTTGTATGCCTTCATAGTTTCTTCATATTTTTCAACCTAGACTCGTTCTTCTTCAGAGATTTACTGTAAGAGACTTCCCTTCTGACTGTCCTAGCAGGGGTAACTTCTCTGCTGTTTTGTTGGTATGATTCATAGAAGTTCATAATGCGGACATTAGACCGCATTTTAGACTTTCTACTGATACCTTGATTCACCGATTTATTCGCAGTTAAGGGTCTAGAGTTCTTTGCTTTGAGGTTCTTGTAAATATTCTTATCGTTGATGCTTTCAAGCTTATGGATCGAGCTATTTTGAGAGACCTGGCTTGGAGCTATGTCTGCAAAGCTCCTCTGAGCTGAAGGCTTGACATCAGTGCTTCATTTCCATGCACTTGGAGGTCTCCTCCTCTTCTTTGCTGATAAGATTATTGAATTTTTAGAAGATTTCTTTTTGTTACTATAGAGCCCAGCTCTGGGCTTCTTTGGGTTTCGTTTGAACTTATTTCCCTTTGTCATTTGGAGAAGTGTGGTCATCAATTTTCTCCTGGAGAGAGTGAATCTTCTCATGGAGCAAACTCCCTTTGTGTAAGCCATACTCCCGTTTCGTAGATAGGTTCGATTTCGGAAGAGGCTTTTTGTTATCCAAGTCTCTAGATGAGTTAGCTTATTGAAGTATAGATCTGCTTACCTTACTCTGAGGTTAATTCCTTCTAATGAGAGGCTCTCAAGAAGACTGTGACTATCATCTCCATCACTTTGTTCCATTTGGTCTTGGCTATTTTCGTCTAGTGAACGGTCAAGCTCTTCTTGGTTCCGAATGTTTAGGTTACGATGGTCTTCTTTGAGGTCCCAGCTTTGGTTCATTATTCCGTTGTTCAGTTTTGGTTTTAAGCGAAGTTTGGAATCTTCATATTCTTCATTGATCTTCGAAAACATCACATTGTATTTTCTTTTTAGCATTTTTAATTTTATTTCAAGATAGTTTACTCATCCAGGGGTTTTGGGGTTTTGGGGTTTTGGGGTTTTGGGG